TCTAATTTAATTACAATTACCACTAAAGTTGTGACTGATATCTGTCAAAAATAATTATAATGTGATTTATTTTTTTTTGTAAGTGGTATAGTCAACAAATGCAACAGTTGTAACCCCAAATGTAAAAATTAGCAAATGTTATAACAAAGTTCCCCTCTCCCCATCACTTAATGAAAACTGTGAAAGAATGCATTGCAAAGATAGAGCTAAGTAGTCTTCAAGAGCTTACCCTGTCAACAGAGAGTGAGACGGGGCAATTCTTGCTAATATCTCTACAAAGGGTCTCAACAAGTGTGAAGGCCTGGTCATAGAGACGACGGTTGTATAAGCCACAGGCCAAGTTGCTCACAGCAATCACTGTAAGGCATGGGGAAAACAAAGTGGAGAATGTTACAATTAAATATTAAATCTCTATATGTTGTAATTGCAAGAAAGCATTTAAGAAAAAAAAAAAAGTGATCTAACAACATTACCAATGCAGAATGTACTCACCTGCTTTGACAACAAAGCTTTCATTAGACAACTTGCGTAGTTCTGTCATCATCAGTCCAGCTGTAGCTTTGCAGTAGAGCAGCACTCTGTCCAGTGTGTCACTGTCCTCCAGCTAAGTATCACAAATCACAATCAGTACTAAAACCGAAATCCAAGTACAGCATCATGTTGTAAATATAAGATTCATCTATATTCTTTTTAGTTTTTATTGTCGCCATGAAACTGGACTTTACAGAAGCAACCTTACCTGTGATGCAAGCATGCTCTCATAAGCAAATGCAAAGCCCTGGTAAATACTAAAGCAAAGGGCCTGCTGCAGTCTGCTGCCCTCAGCCTGTTGTGTTGATTTCTAGGAGAAAAAAACTTAACAGTCAGAAATACTTTTTTCTAGCAAACAAGCAGACAAATAAAAACTCTATTTCATGGTCAGTGGCCACACTAACCTTTTTCAGTACGTTCAATATCAGCTCTTGGTGCTCCTCAAGGAAAGAAAACAGCGCCAGAAGCACTGCTCCACTAAATCCTTTGTTGTGCCCACTTTCGACTGCCCATACCACTAGGCTGCACCCCTCCAGAACAGCATGAGCTTCTCTGTCACCCAGGTCGGCTGAGAGACACCTCAAGGCCCTGGCACACTCTGTAAAAGCCTCGCCACTCTCTTCACCAGCCTTTATTGTTGAATGAATTTTTATTCCCCACTTGCCGAGCACCAGTGCTGTACACTGACAGTTAACATGGTCAGGGACCTTGCTCTCAATTTTATCCAGGAATGTGGAGGCCAGACTGTAGTGGCTGGCCTTACAAAGGACCTTCACTATCATCAGCGCCATTTCAGAAAGTGAATAAAAACTTGATGTCTCGACACACCGCTTGGACCTGTCTTCCTCAGTCCAGCATCTGTTAAAAAGTGTGTGTATTTCCTGGATAAGAAAGGAGGCATCCTCCTTTGTCATTGTTCCACAGCTACTCTCAAATGCAGTAATGGCATCTTCTGTGTACATGGGCGCTTTAGAGGAAGTAGGAATTGCAGTTTCTGTATCCAACAACAGGAGGAAGCTTAAAGCTTGCATCTGGCAACGGAGTTTGTCCCGTGGATTGAGGATTTTTCTGTCTTTAGCAGCAGATAGTCCATTCCAGAGAACAGAGAAGCAGTTCCTCACAAGGACACAGTAGTCTTCTTCACCCTACAGAACATACAAACCTTGTTAAAAGTGAGGTTAATTTTGCATTGTGGAAGCTGGATACTCAATGCATGTGCATGAACTCTTCCGATCAGAGTGGTACATACCTGTTGCGCTCTGGCAAGTCTGCTGTAGAGCAACCCAGCTACATGGCTGCAAAGCATGGGAACTTCCAGGGAGCTTAGCTTCTTGACAATATGGAAAATGATCTTTTCCATGTACAGCGGACTGCTCTGGGTAACAAGTGCTGCAGAAACATCGTAGCCCTGTAGGGAAAGTTCAACCAGCTTTACCAACTGATTAATGTGGTCAAAGTCTGGGGATCCTTCTCCGAGGTGATGGTTACAGGCTCTGATGACTCTGTCACACAGCGTGCGACCCTGAAGCCCAGGTTGGTTCTTCACAGAAATCTGCGAAACAGATTTAAATGGATTCCAAAGCGAGAGAATTAATAGGAGCCTTTTTTGTATTTGATTCACAAAACATATGTAATATCTAGCTCAGTAAATGGAGTTGGGCGTATATGGATACAGTACTTTGATGAGGTTGTCTCAGTATACTAAAACAACATGAACTTGTTACGTTCCTGGGTATATTCATGTTCCATCGTGTTAAAACTGTGTAGCTACTAATGCTAACCTCTAACTCTTCATATAAAAGCCGCGTCTCCTTCACAGATGCCGTCCTCTTGATGTAGTCTTCCACTTTCAAACACTTCATGTTGACAGCTGTAGAAGACACGTTAGTCAAAGTAAAACATGTTAAATTTGAACTTTGATAAAGTCGGTTAGCTTAGCCGTTGTTACCATCAACGACGCTGCTCAGCTGACGTTAACGTTAATGGCTGAACTACGAGCCTCAACTGCTACTTACACAAAGCGGTGGTCGTTTGAAGAAAATGTTTTCTTTACGGTACATTAACAGTATATTTTTCGTCCATAATACCAACAGTTTGAGCAGCTGTAGCGTTTATCCCAACTTTATAAGTTAAAAGTCTCAACGTCCAAACACGGGAAAGACACAACCGCGCACTGTTTTTGAAAGCTCCGCTGACCAATCCGACAGCACATCCGCTTTCAGCCGGAGACACTATGCCTTATGGGTAATGTAGTTGTATTACCACACCCAAACCTGTTGCCAAAGCTGAATTTTATTTGAGAACCTGACGAATTCCCTTTGACAACAAATATTCTAAGGGGTAATGTGCATTTATTTTTACTATACTGTAGCTACACCCAACTACATATCATAAACAATTATTAAGGGTATTATTACCTCTCTACAGTCGTCCTCAAATTTATTCATACCCTTCCATTAAAAAAAAGGCAAAATTCACAATAGTCACTCAAAAACCTAGAAACTGAAAAAAGTGATAATAAATAAAAATTTGCCAAATTATTTAGTGAAATTATACATAGCATTTGAATTGTGGTTGAAAAGACTTAAACAACAACAAAAAAACAAAACAAAAAAAACTGTCCTAGACAAATAAGAGCACTTTTCTGATGAACGGTGGGCCACAATATCTGTCAACAGGTGCAGAAGTGTGATTGAGAGTTACAGAAAACTCTTGATTGCAGTGATTGACTCAAAGGGTTGTTCAACAAAATATTAGCTTATGGGTCCCATCACGCTAGTTTGCTTCAAAGCCCACGTTGATTCTAAAATGAGTTCAGTTTTTTCTGATTTAATTAATTTAACAGGTTTACTGTAGTCATCATGTTTCTAAGTAGTTTTAATCATGAGTATTCATAAACAGCAGGCTCATGGAATATATAAGTAAAAGGTAGAGAACGTGAAGCAAAAGAAAGTAAGGCAAAGGGGAAAGGGTGAGAAGAAAACAAGAGATCTGATGTAAAGTAAAATGGTTTTACTTGGCAGATGCATGCCTGCATTGCAAAAACTACCACCTCCGTATTTTTTGCAGCTCTTTCATATTCCAGCTCCATGGTACTGAAAGTATCACACGCACCTTAAAAAATGTCCTGACCATTATATGTTTGACTTGAAAACACTAATTGATCTTGCTGTTTCAATTCTAAGAAATCTCAAATAATCAAGTCATTCAAACATAATTAGTCAGATTCATATCTGTTTGCAATGTTTAATACAACCAGTGCCCAAGAGCGTATAAGTTTGGATTCATGGTAGTTGCTTAGCTAAACAATTCTAATAAAACAACCTACAGTAGGACAGCTAGACATTGTAGGACACACTGCATGATGAAAACTGTGAAAATAAAGGATGAGAAATGAGTGAGCAGGAGTATTTAATTTAGATTTAAATCAAAATAGAGGGACAGAAAGTAGAAAATCACACTTTTTAAGTGTTGTACAATAGCAGCAATGGGAACGGAGGTTCTGTGAATTGAGATATTTCTAAAGCATAATAAATAGCACCAGTTTCTGCACAGTGTAAATGCTTTTTGTTACAAATTATTACAAGTGACTTGAGAGTTTGTAATGTGAGACTTTCTGTGTTTTTTTAAATTAGTAGCTTTATTTATATTGCACTCGCCTTAAACAGAGTTTAGAAAATGCTTTAAAAGAAGACAGTTATGTTATGTCCAGTCCTTAATTATCACATAAGAAGACTACTTCGAAACTAAGCCGCTTGTCTTGATGACATGTTCCATTGCAGCCTTTTCAGAGGTGTCCAGGCTGATCTCATACTTGGCCAGGATTTTCAGGATGGGCCTCAGCCTTAACCACCACTGTATCTTTGGAATACGGTGTCTGCAGAAGGAAATATTTATCAATGATAAGAGGGGAAAGAAAACAACAAGATTACATTTTGAAGGCCTGTGCAGCAAAGTGACATTTTTAAATTAAAGTTGCATTCAGTCATTTTTGACCACCAGGGTGCAGAAAGACTCCAAATGTTCAATTTACCGCAAGTGCTTTAAGCTTTATAACTAACATGTGAACAAATATCTCCATATGGGCACAGTTCCAGCACAACCAGACCAACATGACAATGGTAGTTGGAGTGCAAAATTTACTCATGGTTTAAAGCTAGCTATAGATGCAAACTTGCTTAATCATCCAATCCTTTTATTTACGTCTGGCAGGCCACTGACTGTACTAAGAGTCTTTTCTTGTTAATGTAAGTACAAATAGAAATGAAGTCTTACTCAAAGTCAGTTTGTTCTGCAAGTTCTGCCAGAGGCTGGAAAACTAAAGATCTCTTCTTCATTCCCAACACACAGGCAGAATCTGGAGAATTGGCAAAGATGCGACCTGGAGGTTTGAGGTTAAAAACAGAACATACATGAACATGGCGAGCACAGGAGGTCAGAACAGCAGAAGTCAACACAACACTTTGTGCTTTGAGTGACATCAAGTCCTCACCATGTCTGTAGCATTCCTTAAGCTTGTCAGTCAACCAAAGAATTGATTTGATTCCCATCTTTGTGCCAAAATTCCTGTCAAATGGACTAGGTGTTCCACCCTAAAAGCAAAGAACATGTCATTTCAGATTGATGGTAATAAATTGAGTGGCTATTAATGAATCTGTGCACAACAAACAGATCTGCAGTGAATAGCACACCTGCTGCATATGTCCAAGTACATTCTTTCTGCAGTCAAACACACCCTTGCCCTCCTCTGAGTACAGGTTGAAGATGAAGTCAGTTGTGTAGTTTGCATTGCATTTCTCATTTCTAAAACAAAAGCAGAAAAATAAATTAGATATGAGCCCCAGTGAACAGTGTAAAAGGAACTACGTTGACAAAAACGAATGATGGCAATTCGCTCAAACCTCAGAATGAGTCCTCTCTTCACTGTGGTTTTCATCTTCTCCACCAGATGTTCTACATTCAACTACAAAAAAAAAAAACACTTTTAGACCACTGACTTTAAAACATATCTATTCATCCCTCACTGATGTATGCCATTTCTCTTTTTTGTAAGAAAACAGACCGACCTCGAGGTCATGAATGTTGAAATGTTCCTCATAAATGTAGGCAGCATCTGCTCCAGCTGCTAACCCAGCCATGGTCGCCAGGTAACCGCAGTATCCTCCCATAGTCTCAATAATGAACACTCTTCTCTTAGTTCCAGCAGCAGATTGCTTGATCCTGTCACATGTCTGCAAAATGTGATAGGAAATTAACGTAGTGAATAAGACTTCACTGTTTTGGGACTGGCTTGCGTTTTTGTGTGTGTTCAGTGAGAACCTTACCATGGTTATGGTGTTGAGGGCGGTGTCAGCGCCAATGCTGAAGTCAGAGCCAGGAACATTGTTGGACACAGTAGCAGGAACGACAACAAGTGGAACACACAGTTCCTCATACTTCTCTCTAGCTTGAACCATCTGCAGACCACCTTTGAATGCCTGGTAGGAGAAAAGTAGTAAAACTGCAATGAGTGACTTTCACTAGCATCAACATGAACAGTGTGTAGTTGGAAGGTGAATAATATAACAGTCCACCAGCAGTGTTGTCAGAGACTGTTGCTCACCTCAAAGCCTCCAATAATGACAATAGCATGAATGTTGAACTTAGTGATGTTCAGACTAATCTCCTCCATCCACTCTTGTGGCAGCGATCTTCACAACAGGAAAAAACACAGAACATAGTAGCTCACATCGATTTAATGTTAAAATTATCCATGCGGGTTCATGTAAATCAACAGACATGTAAAAATATATATTTTCATTAATGTTCTCATCAACAGAGCAGTCTCCTGAAATGCGTCACCTCTTTGTGCCAAGATTGGAGCCCCCCTTTCCCGTCCATCCTGCCACTCCAGACCAATCAATGGGCTCAATCTGTGCAGGGGCAGAATGTATGTTTTATAGTATATATAGTTTTTGCATTGTCATAGTAAACCTGGAACAGTAAAAGTCCCCATTGCTTGGTTGTATGCGTGCAAATACCATTCCATGAGCCAAACCATCGAAGCCGTCGTGCACTGCCAGCATGTTGTGTCCCTGGAGGAGCCCAGTCCTGACAGTTGAACGCACTGCAGCATTCATTCCTGCACATGGCGCTCCAACGTTCAGTATGGCGATGTTGATATTACTCTAGTAAAGGCAATTTCACAGGCACACAGGTTGGTACAAATGTTTTCCACTGAAACCTAATGAAGAGAGCTGATTTGTAACAAGAAGGGAGAGATGCAATTCCTGACCTTTGTATCTGGGGGGTGCACATGAGCCAGCATTTTGTATGTGTTCCAGTTGTTCTCAAAGCTCCTGTAGGCAAAAATGAGTAAAAATGTGCATTTGAAAGTCAGCATAACACATGAGAATTTCAAATGAACAACACAACGGTGCATGTCTCACTTTCCCCTGAGCTTCACTGCATCTTCAAACCGACCTTCAGCCATGGCTGTCGTGACATCTTTAGTCTGGTATAGAAGAAGATGTAATAAAAACAATTTTATGTGACACAAAACATCAAATATAAAGCCCATTACTGGAGTGTATTTACATCACTCAGAGTAAGAAAACTTACATCAGTAATGCCATGTTCAACCATTGATTTTAGATATGTATGCAATATATTGTAAGCACTGTGGAAGTTGTGTGGCACTGTAGGATTTGCTTTGTGTTGTTAAGATTTGACTCACCACTTGCACACACTCCATGAGAGGCAGCCGGACAGCCATGTTTCCAGACAAGCTGACCACACAAGCAGGGGTGTCTGGTGTGGCCTCCAGTAGAGCCATGACAGACTCCACACCCATTCTGCTCGCCTGTCATAGCAATGAGAGATCAGCTTTACCACACTGTTTTGTTTGTTTTTTAAAAAAAAAAAAAATTAGTATTGTTTTTTTTTTTTAAACAGAGGCAAGGTTACCAAGTGAATAAATAAAATGTTTTTTATTGAGATATTACCAGGATTCTATCAAATGCGGAGGGGGTTCCTCCTCTCTGTACATGGCCCAAGATGGTG